AATATCGACAAATCCGTAGTAATTAGCACATTCCAAACAACAGTTAATTTAAAGCTCTTTTAAATTCGATTATGAAACTGGCCCTAAATCGATTTTTTTCAAATTTTTTACCCTCTAGAAAATTTTGCGTTAAAAGAATAAATAAAAAAGTGTTTTCGAATTACTATTAAATATTAAAGATTTCAACATCGCAGACACAAATATTTAATATTTTTCTGTTGATTTATGGTGATGTTTTTAAAAAGTCCAATTTATCGCTGAGAAAAGTATAATTACGTTTTAATTTTTTATTACACCTTGCTTCAGTTTCCGATTTCAAATGTTTTATTTTTTATCCACTCATATTTCAGCCACTCTGAAAAATCCTCCCAAGTTAATCTAGCTGGTGAAGTTGCTGAATAATGCATCAGCCAATCGTTGGAAATGCGACCTTTAAGCCGCCATTAAAATCGATGTTACCAATATTCTTCCAGTTTGTTTTCAAGTGTGTTTAATTATGAAAGTTTTGCTTTAGCAGCGGAATGTGAAATTTCAAGCGTTTCAAAGCACTAGAAAGTCAACTTCTTAGTAATAAAGTTGAGAAATAGATCAATCATTGCAAATTTTGCCCAAAAATTAAATTAAATTTGTACAAATCCAGTTTTTCCGCATGATTGGCGAACGATGAGATGGAAAACGCATCAACAGACCGGAAAATGCTTTAGCTAAATGGGGATGAGTCTGTTTGAAATGCGTTAAAACCCGGGAAAATAGTTGTGGCGAAAAGTTTCCACTTTAAGATAACGAGCCAAAGGCTGAGGTTTCGGAAACTTTAGTCAATCACTGACCGAATTTGGGAATTTTCTCCCGGGATTAATTAATTTTAGTTAATATTAAGCAGCGGTTAAGCGTCCAATTAATAATAAATTTATTTCAACGGCACTTAATTACACTAGCGTTCCACCGAAAGCATCACTTCGTGTCTTGGCAGCCTCATCCAGCTTCTTCATACACGCATCAATCTCTCGCATACACTCCTCTTTCCTTGCCACCAAATCCTGGTTGACTCGCAATTTCCCCAAATTGATTTTAAGCCGAATTATCTCCTCATCCAAATAAGTGTACTCAGGGTCCCCAAAATACCCATTAAACGAATCAATTTTGATCAACATAACTTGCACCTCCTTCTCATACTTTTCAATTTCCTCGGCTTGTCTCACCCTCTCGTCCAGAAGCTCACTATATTTCTGAATATCCCGCATTAATTTCACCTTCAAGTGATGCAATTCACTGGTTTGGTCCAGGTTGAGTTCATCGAGACGCATAGTGGCGTTGACAAGAGTCTCATCAAGTTGGAAAAATTTTTGACTTGTTTCCGAGCCCACAAAATTAAGGATTTGAGGCTTAACCTCCTCTAATTCGTTCTCAATTTCGGCGATGATTCTCGCAGCGAGTTGTTGCTGCTCCATTTGCTTCTGTTGCAAGTCTTCAACTAGGACAGAATGTGGTTTTGGGACCAATTGCAGTTCTTGGATTCGGGCAAAATAGAATTTGATTTCTTTGTACAACTGGTCGCGTTCGCTGGAATGATCGTCTTTGATGTTATCCAGAGCAAGAATTGATAAAGTCAGTCTGGCATCAAGTTGGTCTAACTCTTCCTTGGTCAAGGGTTGAATTTTGGTCAACTCTTGCTTCACATTTTCAAGGTTTTGGCGAATTTCGGTTAACTCCTTCCCTTTCATGGTGGTGTAATTCTGGTCGTTGTTGGACTTTTGCTCGAGGATCATTTTGCTGTTTTCAATATCGCGTTTTACCTTGAGGGCAACACTCGTATCTTTGAAAACCTTATCAACGTTGGTTAAATGCCGGTCTAAATCACGTTCAATAGCATTGTACAAGACATTCTTATAAGTACCACTGTATCGGTTCACTTTCTCCTTGAGTTTCCTCAAATCTTGATTAAACTTTTTTTCTTCTTCTGTACCACAATTGGGGTTAGTGTTCTTCAAGTCTTCCAATTTTCTCAAATACCCCTCAATTTGCTGTAAAATGTCGTCCCGAGACTTGCACAAACTTGAACGGTTTTGCGATATTTCAAGGTTCCTCAAATACTGTTGATGCTCTAGTAGACTACTCTTGATTGAGTCAAAATTTTGGATGGAGTTTGTGAAACCTTGAAGTTTGCTCCCCAAATCGTTCACTCTTGTACTAACCGACATAATATCGACCAAAATATCCTCAGTAGTGCTCTTGCGACTCGATAAATTGTTCTCCAAAAGTAGCAAAACATTGTCAATGTATTTGAGGAGATTTTCAGCAAAACGGCCTCCATCGTCGCCTTGAGTGGACAAATTTGTCACATCGCTTTTATAATCGTTCAATTTTGCTTTCAAATCTTTATACAACTGTGTTTCTCTCGTGTATCGCGAATTTTCGATATGCAATTGCAAGGCTTCAACCTCTTTTTGGATATTCTTTAATTGGGAACGACCCGAATTTTGAGAATTTTGCACCGGTTGTAAAAAATTCTCTTTGACTGTGACCAACTGGGCTTCAGAACTGTCTCTTTGAACCAGTTTCAGTTTTTGCTCAATAATGGCTTTAGCTTCGGCCAAAATCTCTTTCATTTCTCTCGTTGCAGGAACTTCTCGACAAACGCTCAACAAATTCGTGTTTTTCCTCAAAACCACAAATTCGTCCTTTTCTTCATTATCTGACGCTTTCTTGTCAAGAGCGACAATGTTATTACTGATGTTATACAAGACGTATTTCTTTTTTTCCGTAACTGTTTCACCAATGTCCAAAATTTTGCTCACGTAGTCCCTCAATTGTTCTAAAAACTGCCGGTGTTTCTTATACACATCACTGGCAGAAGTATCAGCAAATTTTTCCAAATCGATTCGGGTTTCAAAATGCTGGAATTCGGCTTTATTTAACCGGTCTTCCATTTGAAGTCGTGTGAAAATATTCTCAATGTTGAGAATCACATCTGCGACCTGACGCTTCTTTAAACCGATCTCTTGGCTCAACTCTTCAATGGAATTGAGTTGGGTTTTGTATTTGTTAAAAGTTTCCTTCTCTGATTCGAAATTCACACTTGACAAATTGCGACTTATTGCCAACACCGACGTTTCAATATCGTCCAAATCCTGGAGATACTTTTCCTTTTTTTCTTTCTGTTGCAACTCAGCTAAATAATTTATATTACTTTCAGTGTTCAACTGCCGTTTCAATCTATCGATTTGTTGGTGTAAACGAATCAAGTTTTTCTCCAAAAGCATTTTTCTTTCCTCGTTTATGATCTGGTTATTGACATTGACCATCTGGAGGTCAGTCATCAAGGTTTGAACCGATTTGGACAAGAAATGTAGCCGACTTTTGTCCTTGTTGGTTTCGGCAACTTTAACATCACTCTTCAAGGCTTCTAGTTTAGTTTCTATGTCTGACAAAGACCCGGAATTGTTTCTATTGGCAATTTTGGGTCGTTTTATGGACGATCTTTGCGATGGGGGAGTCGTTGAAGCTCTCACAATATCAGAATTCTTTTGCTCTTGTAATTGGAACAGTTCGGCAGTGGCAGAAGACGCGAGTTTTTGAGCCGTTTCAGCTTCCTGTTTTTTAGATTTTTTCGAAATGTAGCTGAGTCTTTGGGAGTAGTCTGCAAGACGTGCTTGGAGTTTATCAAAATCCTGCTGTGCAACTTGTCCATCTCTTATCAATTCTCGAATTTGTTCAATTGAGGCAATGATTGACTTGACGTTTTTCTCTTTTTCTTTTGCTAAAAATCAATAATGTGGCTTGAAAAGGTTGTGAAAGTGTGACTTACAATATTTTTTTGATGAAGTTCGACTGAAAGAATTGGTGGGGACTGCAGCTTGGTCCAGATTGACTTCTTGTTTCAGAGCGTCTAGTTCTTTGGATGTTATTTCGATAAGTTGTTCAGCTGTGTAAATGTCACTTGCTCTCGCTTTTCGAGCTAGATTCAAGTCGATTTCGCTCGAATATCGGTTTAAATACCCCTGAATACGTTCAGCGTCATTTGCTGTTATTTTACCATCTCTTAGGTCTTTTCTGATCCGATTCAAAGAGTCGGTTATTTGCTGGAGTTTCACTTTTGACTCATTTTGACCCATCTAACCAGCGATAAAAATATTTGTATAACAGTAAAAACCTTCAATAATGCCCTTCTTACCTTCTTCATCTATCCTGAATTAGGTAAATCACAATGCAAACACAAACATCACCATTCTCTTGATCTTTCCAGCATTTAACCTCAAACAAAGTAAAAATTATGAAGCGTTATCGTCGATAAAATGATAAAACTGATAAGAACAATGCAATCAATGCAAAGGAATGTCTTAAATAAATAAAATTGTACAATGTGTCTTACTTAATAAGTTACAAGTAGTCGTAGAAAAATCAAAATTTTTGAAAAAACAAAAATTGTGACCTTGCCGCGTGTATTTCAAAATACTTGTTTGATGTGTTAATATAATTAGTCTCAGGTTTGAAATTTATTAGCAAGTGGTGTTCCGCAAGGACTTGATATTGACAATACGGATTATGGAAGTGGCATTGTTAAATGAAGTTGCCGGGAAGAGAAGTGTGCACTGACAGGTTTTATAATTAAAATAAAGTCAATCGGTGGACTGCGACACGATGTTCAACAAGCTGGGGGTTGGATGGGGTGAAATGGAGTGAATTTTACGATCTTAATCAAAGCAAATTTAAATATTTTTTAATTACTTCTGCAGTTTTAAATTTTATTGAATATTGTTGTAAAAAATAGTAAAAAGTAAAGACAGAAAAAATTTACAGAGTGATTCACATAGCATTAAGACATTTATGAGATTTAAATACCACCAGTTGTACATTAAAAAAAACCTTAGGAAGAAATTTTATCTAACATAAATGTATATCTAGTTGCATTTAACATTATTCAGGGTTGCAAAGTTAAATAAAATGCCCTTTATTTGTAATGTGATTTTCTTAATTAAAACTTCTTCACATAGTGTTGTAGGTCTGGTAAAAACTTTTGTAAAAACTTTATATCTAATGATTTTTAAAAACCACTCACTGTAGCTAACTGTGGTTGCAACAGAAAATTCGTACAGTCAGAAATAATTTTTGGAAAATTCAGTATTTTTTAAACATTTAGTAGAATCAGCTTTTTTCATTGCGTCAACCAATAAAATTTGATTTTATGTAGAAGTATTAATTTAGAAATTTACATTAAAAGTGACGTTATTTTTTCTACTTTCAACCATTATTTTCTGTACTTCAATCATTTTGCACGTTTTCAACCAGAAACTTATTATTTCGTTAAATTTTCTCAAAAATAAGTAAATCGATAAAATACCAAATTTGTTAAAACCAGCCTTATTTGTTGTGATGTGACTAAACAGGGTTTAAAAAAAAACCTTCTTTTGTAAAATTTCGTTAAAAACTAGTCAAAAATTTATCAAATTAGACTATCACTCCTCGTTTATAAGCAAAATTTTGTCAAAAAAAAGACAAAACAATACAAAATTTAGTCAAAAATG